CTGGCGTGACCTGTCGCTGCAGAAGAGGGTTCTGAGCGCAACGTGGCTTGGTTTGCTCGGTGCGGCTCGCGGCACGCTCATGGGGCCCTCCTCCTCGGATGCACGCGCCTCTGAGTGACAGCTGACAGTTCGCGTGGACTTGTTGTGCGGCTTGCTCATCATGCAGGGGTGGATCCTAGTTTTGGGCTCGGCCTTGCGTGGCATGGTGCCACGTAGCCACCTAGTTACCAGTGGCATCGTCGCATGGTGGTGGGTAGTTTCGCTGCTCGTGTGTGCCCAGGCTCATTGCATTCTACCGACGGTGGTGGTGGTGTTGTTCGGGACGTGGCTCTACCGTAGGCTCTAGTTTTCCCACGTGACGAGTCTGGTCTGGGCTGTAGCCAGTGATGGGTGTTGATCCGTTCGTTCGAGTGATCTCGTGATTCCCTAGAAGGATGTGGCCACCGCGGGCCATTCCTCGGGCGAGCTCGCCTTGAGCCATAGGCCTTTGGCTTTCTAGGTGGAAGTCTTGGCCATGGCAGTGATGAAAGAGGGTTCTAGTCCCCTTATGTAGGTGAACTCTAGGATGCAACCCCCGAGGGGAGTTCTGAGAGTACATCCGCCATGGATCACGAGATCCAGACCTCTGGTCGGAGGTCCAAGCCGCAACTAAAGGCGGATGTGGGCGCTAGCCCTCTAGGGTGGTTAATCACGTTCCCAAAAGGATGTGGCTGGTCGAGGCCATTCCCCGGGTGAGTTCGTTACGAGCCGTGGACCTTTGGTTTCCTAGACGGGAGACCTGGCCACGGCCAGTAATGTGTGAGGGCACTGGCCCCTCTGGGTAGGTGAACTCTGGGATGCAGCCCCCGAGGAGAGTTCTAAGAGTGTACCCGCCGTGGACCGTGGGATCCAGATCTCCAGGGTAGAGGTCCGGGCTACGGCTGAAGGCGGAGGCGGGCGCTGGCCCTTTGGCGTCGATGGGCTCATAGTTTTTGTGGTGGATGTGGCCACCGTGGGCCTTTCTGCGAGTGAGTCCACCGATGGTGTGAGGAGCCATCATTTCCTTCTCAACAATCGAGAATGCACGACTGTCCCCTATCTGGCGCACCAACTGTCGGTGTTTTGTAAACCGGGCTAGTCAACTTATACGATTGCCGCGCTGCTCTAGGAAGACGATAGTAGCATCTAAAAGACACAGAGATTTATACTGGTTTAGGCCATAGCGCTACGTCCATTCTCAGAAATGATCGAGTGCGTGTTCCTCGCTTGAATGCTCTGAAGTTCTTACAATGGGGGGTGCAAGAATGGTGGAAGAGGTGGAAGAACCTAAGCTAGGTGATGCGCTGCTCGAAGAGAAGCCTCAGGAGCCTTACTACGATGGAGAATGAGTGAATGAGTAGGAGACTCGGAATGTGTCTCCATCCTGAGATGGGAGCCCTGGCTGCCCTTATATAGAGTTCAGGGCTAGGGCGCTTACAAAGGAGGAGGTTCTCCCGACTGAAGGGTCGTGAGCCTAAGGGAGGCCCTAGCTAACTTGGCTTGCAAACTACACCGTCTTGTAGGGTACATCCTCACGTGGCTGTCGTCATGGTCTTGTGGACATGTCGCAACATGGTGTGGCGTGGTGCTTACTATGCTGACCCTGGGAGCACTATAGGCACGGTGGTGGTTCACTAGCTGTCTTGTGCAACATGATCTCATACACGATCTTCATCATCGTCTCCTGGTTTCCTGGGGTGTAGTACGAGAGTTAGTAGCCGCCCCCAGGTCATCGATCGTCTAGTTGTCTTGAGAAGCTGAAGGCCACGATCCCGATTATTAGGGTTGTGGCTCTCGTCGGTCCAGGTGGCTTTAAGGTCAAGGCCCCCATTGTGGATCCCATCCCGTAGTGGGTGAGATCGTACATGCATCTTGTTGGGGCGTATCTGGCCAGTGGTCATTGTACCCGTCGTCACCGCCCTAGGGCGATGTTGTCTTTGTCCGATCTACGTGGCGCAGGGTTGGCGTCTGACCAGACCGAGGTGACTACTATCCCCTCGGACCTTGTGAGGTCAGTGAGGCATGCCTGTCTTCATCAGAGTGGGCGCGCTTGGCTGGGCTCGACCTCTCCCCGTCCCTTCTAGGGGTCATGACGGGGTTGAGGTCGTGCGCCTTTCGAGTGCCATACGGCTAAGGCAGGAGGAAGAGGTCGTGGCCAACCCTAGCCTTAGCATCTGTCCTGGTTTGTTCAGCTCAGCTGGGCCTCGGTCATTCGGGCCTTCGCTAGCTGATGTATTGCGGGCTACATGGCCTATCGATTAATCAATGCCTTGAGACACCCTAAGGTTATGACCCCGACAAGTAGCTTTGATTAATTAGGTGTAATCTGCTCTCTAGCTAGCTTTCTAATTAGTGTTAGTAGAGACATAGACATTGTGTGCTTAGTGATCATAATTAACTAGAATTGTTGGTAGGTGGCTTGCCTTTTTAAGTAGAGCTAGAGCAAAACTCATTTCGCCATTTAGTTGACTAACAAAGTTGCTCTAGTATATTTGTAGAATTTTTATAGGCAATTCACATCCCTCTAGCCATTTAGGGCCTTTTAATGGAAAACACAGCCGCTACTTGCTCGTACAAGAGCACGCATGACCGTGTGCAACTCCCGCCCCTCCATGCCTCGGATTCCACCGCTCCACAACAAGCGCCCCAGCTCAAGATGCCACTGCACCCATCGCAAGATGCCACCAGTACAACTCCTAGATGCCTAATTTCCTCCCTCTCAACCGTGCTCATCGACCGCCACGTAGGCGCCAGCCCTCGTGTGTGGCTAGGCAGCTAGGAGAGGGGGCCGTCACTGGTTGGGCCCAACGTAGGTGCGGCCAGGAGAGGGGGCCGTCACTGGCTGGGCCCAACGTAGGTGTAGGCGCAGCTGGCCGCTACCAGGCCATGCCACCATCCTCGGTCACCGGCTGGCCAAAACCGGCCGTTCCCCGCTCTGCTACACGTCGTCCGGAAGAAGAAGGGCAAAAACGCATATTGCAAGTGTATGTTTCAAGTGTCTCATATGTTTCAAAGGTATGCTGTAAGTGTTTCATATGGATGTTGTAAAAGTAGATCAGGATATTAATTGCATATGGTGCAATGGTTGTACACATATGTTGCAAACTTCTGTTCCCAATGTTTTATCTATTTTTTCATATGCAAGTTGCAAGTGTGTTTGTCTGAATGTTGCATATGTTTCACACATATGTTGCAAGTATTTTACCTGGATATTGCGTGTGTTTGCAATGGTTTCAAGTGTTTTATGTATTTTTACAAGTGTTTCTTACGCATGTTTCAAGTGTTTCATCTGTCTTCAGACGTATGTTGCTAGTGTTGTATTTGGATGTTTTAAAAGTAGATCGGGTATTGCACATGTTGCAATGCTTGTGAAAAGCGGAGGGGGCGCGAGTGTGGCCCCTCTCGCAGTCTGGCAGCGTGGGGCTGTGTGGGCGTGCGAAACACAGTCATGGACAGGGCATGCTGGCGTTAGCGCACAACGTGGAATGCAGGCGCGCAGGGGAAACGAAGTGCTGCGCGGGCGTCCGTCTGGACATTCGCGCGCTAGCACTACCATATTATATTTGCTTTATTCACTACTATACAAAATGGTTTTCACAATCGTCTTCTATTTTGTCTAGAGGCGGTTGATTTATTCAATAACCGCCCCTAGGGAATGTTACCTTAATAAAACTGCCACAGAAAATCTACCTATTTCTAGGGTTAGGGTTGGCATAAAACCACCCCTAGAAATCACGTTTCTAGGGCGGTTTCTTATGTCAAGTGTCGTAAAAATAAGTGATTTCTAGGGGCGGTTAACGTATACATACAAATCAATTTTCAGTGATGGCCTTGGAAATAGTTGCCGGACAAATACATTCATAACTTTTTAGGGGCGGTTGACGTATACATACATTTCTACGGGCGGTTGACCTATACTTACCAATGTAGTTGGATAGAGACAAAATTCATATTCAAATTATAAAGCTTGAGAAGATCTAAAACTTGGTAATTGATGATGTTCCATCTGAGATCATTTAGAGCCCAAATATATGTTATAAATTCTTAAATTTTAAAATTCAAAAATGTGAATTTATTCAAAGAAGCTCGGATGGAGACACACCCGCCCTCTGTCGAAGTCATAAACTTTATAGTTATTCTTTCTATTTTATTTAAAATAGTTTGAGAGCCTAAATATTCAATACAAAGTTCACACATGTTAATACAAAAGGATAGCATCCTCAAATACCCACCGATGCACTTGTGCGCGAAAAAACTGGAAATCTGACTTTTTTTGTTACGATTCAACTGGAAATCTGACCTTACGAATATAGGTGTAACACTAGGAGAAATGTTTAACGAGAAGAAGAAATAGAATGCTCCGTCAGAAAAGAAAATAATAGAGTGTGCGACAACATAACTCCACTCTTTGTCTACACGTACACCCCAAAGTTAATGGTACTATACCTACTATTGTCGGCCCTTTTGCTTAATGACAAAAATTAAGCAAATTAACGGGCCGGGCCGAGTTCACAGTAAGTGGCGGAGCCCAGTTACTAGCTTTTGGCCTTTTCCCTTTGCTAATATATGAATGCAATAATTGCATCCGTTCTCAGTCAAAGTTTGACTTTCGTGGCCCCGTGCCGGTAAAGCTAAAAGCCGTTGTTTGCGTCGTCAGCTTGTTCAGCCAAAGAGGAACTTGTTGCTCACGATGATTACTTGCATGAGGGACCAAGCTAACAAGTCAGCTGATGACCTATGTATACGGCTATATGCACGCTGCAGTGTATTTTACATATATTTATATATGTATCGTAAGCGAGCTGTTAGCCAGATGACCTATATATACGGCTACATGTTTTATTTGACAAAGCTCATGCCTGCTGAGTAGCAAAGATTAGCAGCAAGTGTATTTCTTTGCCGTTGTCCGCCCGAGCTAAGGTTTCATTTGCCTCGCTCTCCCACAAGTGGTAGTAACGCACAATCATCATATATACACGCCGATGGTGTTCTTCAAGTACGGCTTCATCTTCCTCGCCGGCGCGGCCTTCGGCACCGCCATGGCGCACCGCGGATGGCACCACCGTCACGGCCATTGCTGGCGCCGTAACGGTGGCGACCGAGGCCGCTGGCACGAGCAGGAGCCCGCCGCGCAGGCGAGCTACGACGACGAGTACCACCAGCAGGAGAGGAGGGGTGCTTACTACTACGGTCGCCCGGACGACACCGCGGACAACAGGGACACGGAGGAAAGGGAGTACCGCCGTTCCGTGAAGAACAAGAAGTCGTCGGCGGGTGCTGCTGCTGCTGCCACTTCTGATTATTAATTAGTGCGTAGCAATATAGCATGATCGATGTCCATTATAGTTACACGCTGTTGTTACTGTATCGTACTATATGTTATTGAGTATGTAAGGTTGTAATTATAATTTGTTGTACCGCTGTGTGTATAGGTGTTGCGTGTGTATTGTACGCTACTCCTTCTATCGCTGAATAAATCAATTTCTAAAATTGTTTAAACTCAAACTTTTAAAGTTTGACCAAATTTATAGAAAATACAAAAATATTTATGACACCAAGTGAACAAATTATGAAAGTAAAATTTATAGTGTTGACGTCGGATTGGATCCCGAATTACACACAAGTAAGGGCTATCACGCCCTAGTTTGCAATCAACCTATCACACGTAGTAAGTAACTCAAAGATCGACGAAACCGATCTTGGGATCGATTAGGCCGATCTAGAGCTTCTCCTTGCCGCAGAAGCCTGGGAACACCTCCCGGGAGGACAAGTCGGGAAAATGCATGTCTAGGGTTGTCCTAAGGTTGGCATGGCCACCTATAACGCCGATGAATCTCGCGGAGAGATGAAACGAACAACAGGAGGGTTAAAAAGGGCAAAACTTGGGTGATAGATGCAAAAAACGATTGAGTGTTGGATCCTTCAATCGGTCGTAATCCTCTGATATATATAGAGGGGGCAGTCTTATCCTAGTAACAAACAAATCTAAATTATGATCTCCATGCTTCCTACACAAAAATAGATCCAAAAACTGATTTGGAAAGAGATCGGTTCGGACTACAACAAGAAAACCGGCCTAACCAAGTCCCAAACCAGCTAGCCCGGCTCAACCAGCCCAGCCGGCGGCCAACACAGGGCAACCGGCCTAGCTGGGTCCCCAACCGGCCAGGCAGAGACGGTGCAGCGAGGTCGGTCTAGCCAGGTCCCAAACTAGCTAGGCCAATTTTAACGGGCCGGTGTAGGGAGGCCCGTGAAGGGCACGCGAGAGAGCAGGCAATCGGCCTGGTCGGTTAGGGAGACTGGCCAAGCCGGTTTGACAGAGCTAGGCGCCTCTTCTTCCTCTTCTCGTTCCCCGAAGCTCAATGTGATGATCCAAAACATGTTTTAGGACCTCTTATTCGTCATGAACATTATTGCAAAGTCCTTTGGTCATTTTTAGTCATCAACATATGCCATCCTATTTTTAGGTGAAGCTTTAGGTGAACATGAAAACATAAGGAAAACTAAATAGCAAGAATGTCCAACTCATCGGCTACTGGCGACTAAGGACAATGTATACATTGTTCAAATTTGTTCTAAAGGCGATACATATATTGGCCAGTGTTTGGGCAGCACTCTAGGCCCTATAGCATCCGGTTTTACGAACAAAACCAGATACACACCATATGTGAGCCCAGGAAGTCAAATCTCACATATAGCTACAAATAAAGGTAATATCAATCGACAATGCTTAAATACATAGCGTATTAGTATAAGGAATATAACCTCAGAGTATAGACAGCGGAAAGACAACTCCGATCTTCAGGTAAAGACTCCACATCTATAGGGACAACTGACTGGTTGATCACAAGCCTAATTTCTCCAAATTAGCAATCTAGTACCCATCCGGGATTTTTATCCAAATGTAAAAAATAAAGCAAGCGTAAGTACATGTCGTACTCAACAAATATAACATGGGGTTCATGAGGCTCAAAAGGCTGACACTGGTTGACTACGATTAGCTTTTAATGAGTCATGATTTTAGCAATTGAGTAGCAATAAGTTTATCATAAGCCCATATAAACACATGATCAGGTAAACATAAATAATGAATAGCATAAACAGTAATCATTAGTGAGCATCTTTATCATCAGTATCATCAGTGTTCATCATCTATTTCGTAAGGGTTCCAAGGCCGCTCGTGACCGTGAGCACGGCTGATATACCAGTTTTACACTCTATAGAGGTTGTACACTTTCACTGAGTCGTGATTTACCCTTTCGTCCGAGGTGATTAGCCTCTTGACCCACTACCAAGGAAGATCGATAGGGTTCACTATGAAGCCTTTCAAAGGTTCGTCTAACAAGTTAGGGCCATTAGATTCACTCGGCAAATAGATGTAGGAACCCCCCTTCCCGATGGCACAATGACACGCAACCTATACACAAGGGGACAGAGGCTGTCCTATACCTGATTTGGCAAGCCATTCTTACACCAATAAAGCTAACCTCTAACAAGCTAGAAAAGGTCCTAATACTGAGCTAAAGCTAGAGCCATATAGCCCTCACAGTTATACTGTAAGTCCCGAATGATCACTTACAGATAAGTCCTTAGAGAGAGGAATCTAGAGCACCATAAAATAGCCCAATGCTCTAGCCCCCTTGTTCCATGTAGCTAAAAACATCTTTTAATGTTTATTGCATATTCCATTAGTCAAGTTACAAGATCATGGTTGTAGTTGAGCACTAGCATCATACTACCCAATGCATATCCCATAGGAATCAAGGCACAAGGTACAAAGTACTAGGAAATCCTTAGTGACTGTCAAGGTAGACACGTGCAGTATGGATTAAATGATTTAAGGTGTATAGGACAACAAGGAAGATCCCATGCTATACTTGCCTTTAAACACCGATCCTTCGGTAAGCTTTAATCTTCAACGTTCTTCTTCTTCTTCTTGATCACCACGTATATCTCACCGACTGGACGAAATCATAAAGCACCACACAAGCATCCATACAATCATACATGAAGCAAACAATAGAACTAAATTAGAACAGTACACCAATCATAGAAAAATAAGTAAAAGAGTTTGAAACACGATTCTACGCATCGCTACGAACACATAGTCGCGAGAGGCACGCTAATCGGAGCTACGGTTGAAAAGATACAACTACCGACAGATCTACTCATAAAACTATTAGCTTCATGTGTTTTGATTATATAAAAACATATATAAGATATTTTATAGATAACATAAATTAAGTCAAATTTAAGTTTGAATTATAACACTAAAGTAAAACAAATCATATTTTATTTATAAAACCCAGTTGCATAATTATTATTCAAATTAGAGTTTAAACCATGAAATTCTAGAATTAGTGACATGATATACATCGTTACTAATGCGTAGTTTATGTTGTTATGAATCCAATGCAACTTGAATGGGCTAAAACAGAGTTAAAACGTAAAAGATATGATTTAAACAAGATTTCCTTTAATAAAATAATAGATTAAATCTAATCACGAATTTTAAAAGTTGAAAACACATCTAACAGTAGTATAAACATGTAGATTATGAAATTACGAACCTAACGCAAGTTGAACGGGTCAAATCGGAGTTAAAACGGAGAAGTTATGGCTAAAACAAGATCAGTGGCAAATCTGTAAATAAGTGAAAATGTATTTTGGATCTAAATCGAAGAAACTACGTTTTCCAAAGACGAAAATGTAATCTGTAACTACGCTTTGGACCGCGGGTTAAGTCTCAACTAATTATAAGGGCTCTTTTACAAAAACACCAAGACGAAGGGGTATCCGGGATTCTAGACCGTTGGATCAGGAATAGATGACTCGGATAAGATCGAGAAGGGAGAGGGAGGAGGCTGCCGTCGAAATAGTAGCCGGCGCGGTGGCGCCATGGCCAGAATGGCGCTTCCAGGTGGGTTTCAGTGATTCCAACCACAATCCTTCACGGGAAAAATACGGGGAGCTGGAGGGAGACTCCGAGAACTCGATGGAGGTACCTGTTGAAGCAGTGGAGGGACGGTGACGGCGACACACGCGATTTGGCAGCCAATGCTGGTTCAGCGACGGCGCAAAGCTTGCTCGAGGTGAGGCGGCTCGGCGAAGGTGGCTGCGGGTGCTCGAGGGAGTAGGGAGGCGGTGCAGGGTACGGCTCGGCTTATATGGGGCCGGGCAGCGTAGGGCACAAGCTATCGAGGGGGAGGCGTCAAGGAGCCGGACATGAACACCGGCGAAGGAGTTCGGGTTCGGCACGGCGGGGAAGAAGGAGCGTCTGACATGGGGGCCAGGCGCGTCAGTGGAAGGAGGGAAGGCGCGCGTGCGGCGTGACCTGGGCCAGGCGGACTGGGCCGTGAGGGAGGAGCGGCGGCGACGCTGGGCCGGTGCGCACAGCTGGGCCAAAGGGAGGGAAGAAGATCGAGCTGGGCCGAGCGGAGGGAGAGGAGCAGGCCTTCGGGCGAGGAGGAGAAGGGCGGCCCACAGAAGCTAGGCCGGCGCGGAAGGAATGGGACGCTAGTGGGCCGGTGGGAGAAAACGACCACGGGAAAAAAAATAACGGAGGAGGAGGAGCAGTGGGCCTGCACGCTGACGTGGGCCGACAGGAAAAAGTAAACCGGCCATGCAGGCCGAAAGGGAGAGAGAGGGTTTTTTTTCCAAATCTTTTTCTAATTTGTTTTAAAAACCAAATTCAAATGTAAACCAAATCAGATTTGAATAGGATTTCAAATACACTTTTCAGTTCAAATAAAATGAACAATTTTAGTAAATTTTCAAACATAATTTCCACAATTCATTTATTTTCAAATTTTCTTTTCTTTTATTTCAAAGCCATTTTTAATTTCATTTGCAAAAGAAATTTAAACCATTTTGACTTTTCAATTAAAACCACTCAATCAAATACATCAAATGCAAGGGCACGTATGCACAAATATGTTGCTAAACCTTATGATGAATTTTAATTTAATGAAATTTTTTATTTTCCTATATTTTATGAGCATAAAATTTAGAAATAAATTATTTTATACCTATTTTCAAAAGAGGCAAATTTTAGGGTGTTACAATTCTAGGGTGTTACAGGCCCTTGCCAAACAATTGAAAAGTATTTTCAAATACTCCCCGTTAATTGTCTCTAGCATATATGAATTTCTAAAAACCACTTTGATCACTTTTAATGGACCTTTCTAGCTAGGTGACCACTTGCTAAATATATTGCTCTTCGTCCCAGGAGGTAGAATAGTCTTCCACACTAAATTTCCAACTTGGAAAGATTTGCACTTCACTTTCTTATTATATATAGGCCCAA